AGTTCATACCCGAAACCCGGACCTAGATGGAAGCCCCACCCCAGATCTCAGAAGGCCCTCTCGCCACAAGTGTCCAAAGCTGATGTCACCAGATGGCTTCAATGGGTCTCAGCTCATGGCTGTCCTCAATCTCCCGTTGGCTCTTTCCCCGGATTTGCGAATGCCGCTTTTAATGCCGAGAATGTCTCCCTCCAAGGCCCAGGGATCATCTCGGGAACTAGCCGGACCGTTTTATCTAGGAAACCTTCCCGCTGAAAACATCTGCAGAGGAGATCCTAGGCCATGTTCGTAGTGGTCAGATCGAGTCAGTTCGGCTACTTCCAGACAAGAACTGTGCCTTTATCTCTTTCTTGGAGAGCAGTTCCGCCACTCACTTCCACTCTGATGCGATTTTGAAGAAACTCGCCATCAAGGGAAATGATATCAAAATCGGCTGGGGTAAGCCTTCCCAGGTTCCAACCTCCGTGGCATTGGCGGTCCAACAATCCGGAGCCTCGAGAAATGTTTACCTAGGGAACCTTGCGGAAGATGTTACTGAGGAGGAGTTACGTGAAGATCTGGGAAAATTTGGCCCAATTGATACGATAAAGATCGTCAAGGAGAAGTCGATCGGATTCGTGCATTTCTTGTCCATCAGCAATGCAATTAAAGCTGTTACCCAACTACCCCAAGAGACCAAGTGGCAAGCACCAAAACGCGTGTACTATGGGAAGGATCGCTGCGCCTATGTTTCCAAGACCCAGCAGCAAAATGCCGCCCAGTATCTAGGCATCGCTCCAGGTTATGCTCATATCCTCAATTCGGCTGACCGTGATCTGATCTCGAATGCATTGGCCCAGCAATCCGTTGCAGCAGCCGCAGTTGCCACTAGCGCTGGTGGTGTAAACAACCTAGGTAATAGGACCGTTTACTTGGGAAATATTCACCCTGAAACGACCATTGAGGAGATTTGCAACGTCGTACGGGGTGGACTGTTGCACCACATCCGCTACATTCCCGACAAACATATTTGTTTCGTCACCTTTATCGACCCCACATCTGCTGCCTCGTTTTATGCTCTTAGCAACTTGCAGGGTTTGATGATCCATAACAGGCGGCTTAAAATTGGTTGGGGCAAACATTCCGGCGCCCTGCCTCCTGCCATTGCATTGGCAGTAAGTGGTGGGGCATCCCGGAACGTGTATATCGGTAACCTGGATGAAACCTGGACCGAAGAACGCCTACGCCAAGATTTCTCTTCCTATGGTGAAATCGAATTGGTCAACGCTTTGCGTGAGAAGAGCTGTGCGTTTGTCAACTTCACCAACATTGCGAATGCCATCAAGGCAATTGAGGCAATGCGCAGCCGAGAGGAATACAAGCGGTTCAAAATCAATTTTGGAAAGGATCGCTGCGGGAACCCTCTCCGTCAGATCAACAGCAATGGCCAGAACCGAGAGGGTAATCAGTCCTCTCCTACTTTGAATGGGAACCTGCAACAAAACGGATCTCAATCCAGCCCAACAAGGCCAGCGTTATCTCCAGCACCAGGCTCCACAGGTTCACATTCGCAAAATGGGCACGGTCGGCAAATCCCACTCGCGGCAACTCCTTCTGCCATCCTGAATGCTGGAAGCAACAATCCCCTGACGCTCTATCTGAACCAAATTTCTCAGCAACAGGCGCAGGAACAAGAAAATCGCATGAATGACCCTATTACTCTAGCAACCCTCCAGCAGCAACAACAACAGGCACTAGCCCATCAACAAGCCACCCTCTATAACCGAGCAGGATCGAATGACCTGCCCAATGGAAACTCGATGCATCAGTCCAAAGGATCCACTCACGGATTTTTGAATGTTTCGGCTGGTACACCAAATTCGACACACGGCGTCACTAGCGGCAATTCCCTGAGTGTCCCACGATCGCAACACTCCCGCGCTGTCAGCCTCCCGTCCTTTTCGCAAGAGGCTTTCGGTCAGGGCTCAAACCAACCGCACCAACACCGGAGTGGAATGTCTCATCACCAAACCCAGGGAAGTTTTTCAGGTTTCGGTGGCGGGCTAGGTGGGCTGAACCACAACGGATTTGGGTTGTCCATTTCCAACGAAGGATCTCTCCCTGGCTGGGCTGAAGAAGAGATCGGAGCGAAATGAACTGTTTCAGAATTCGAGTCGACGTGGAATTGTTTCGCTTCCATGCGCTTTCGTTCTCCTTTCTTGTATTCCCTTTTTTGGTTTTTAATTATCTAAAGCTTAATTTTTATCTCATTTTTCTTTCCTTAACTCTCTTTCTTGTTCTTTTAATCTTCCCATTCTTGTATTGGTTCATAATTATGTTGTTTAAATTTTGATCTCATTCTTCGAATATTGCCTATCATCTTTTCGTGATGCCCCCGAGTGCCACCGTTGTCATCATCCGATTTTAATCTAATATATCTCCTCTTAATGCTTATCTCGACTCGCCACTTTCCTGACTTCGAATCGATTCACCAGCATTTTTTTCAGTTCGCTGTGATGCAATAAGCTAAAGACAAGCGAGGTGAGATACGAGACGTCCCATCTTGGACTATTTGGCTATTTTATTATTTCATTTTTTTATTTCATTAAAACTTTCATTTTGCATACCCCTTTTTTCTTAACCTGCTTATTGCGCTTTATCCCATGTTTTTACTTTCTTCCTTCTTTCTTTTCTTTTGCTTACTTGACCATTTTTCCATTTTACGATGCCATATTCGAGAATTTTATTTAATACTTTTTGTTCGTTATTATTTTCCCTTTTTTTCTTCCTGTCTTTCTGCTGCTGCATCCGCATTGTCATCGTCATCATCATCACAACCACCACCACCATCATCATCATCACCCACTGTAATTTGGAGTGGTTCTGCTCTTTTATTTTGCCCTTCGGAGGTTAATGTGTGGGAGGCGGGGGTTACTACTGAAGGATAGAGATTCTGAATTAGGGAGAAAATGAACCGGTAATCGACTAAGATTTTTTTCATTCATCACACACTGTTCAAGGGAGGTTCGATGGATGGAATGAATGGCCTGCAAGGGGCAAAATAAATAAATATTTATCCTCCTCGTTTACCCTTGATATCCACCTTCTCCTTTATTTTCCCCTCACTGTTATAATATTCATATACATAATTACTGATAGCAAAATACAACGTAGTTAATTGTAAATAAAATAAATACAAAAATACAAGATAATTAATCCTGGCCTTTGTTGTACGCTCACCCGCCCTCTCGCTTTCAATAAGGCGACTCGGGAGTGTTGAAAGGTTAATACCACGTGATATATCAGATTCGTCCATCTCCATTTTGCTTCTAGGAAGGATCAACATCAAGCAACATCAACAAGACTCAACGGAGCCCATATTTCAACGAAGTTGAAACTCCTCCATCTTATTCATCTCTTTTCCTCACGATAGAAACACACGTCTCGATATAGAGTGTGCTCTTCAGTGGTTTTATCCTGCACATATTTCAATTCTGGAATGGATGTTGAGAAGTGAATTGGCTTGGCTACTATCTACCAAACACCCACGCCCACGTACTGCGCAGGCCGCGTTGCTGCGTATCTCATGCTTGGAACACATTGCAACAGTTCATTCCTTTCAGTTGGCCATTAGCTTTTCTTGGGAGCCT